CCCGGGTGGAAGAACCACCGCCGAAACTTTTTCTTTCTGTTACAGGTTGCCAAAGCCATCTATTCTGCCTGTGCTTTCCAACTGATCACTAAATGGGCAGTGTAGTCAAATTTTCACTCACACATAAACATATGTAAGTTCTCTTTCTCTCTCAATGTTCATTTTTTTTTTTTTTGATTTGTTGAGAAAATGTTTTATAGTTGCTCGATGAGAAAATATTTTATAGTTCTTGGTTCTGATGCTTCTGTCCAGCATTGGAATAGCTGCTGATTGTTGCCATCACATGGGTGTGTTTGAATTGTTAGTTAGTAGGACGTGGGTTCCGACAGTGCATCAAATCTCTTGCATGTGTAAGCCTTTGTTTATTATAATGGGGGTAAGTGTTTGTTTATTAAATTTAGTCTTAGTGGAAGGCCTATTTGGACCATTTTTTTTAGTAGGCTTGTGGTTGTGCATGTTTCATGGCCCACACTAGTTGGGTTGCTAGCTTTTCAAGGGTGGTTTTAAAATTATATGCTGGATTAATGTATCAAGGCTACGGTTTTCCTGAAACTAGATAGATTTGGATTGTTATCATGTTTGTAAAATACAGATTTGATTGTTATTTAAAAAAAAAACATTATGTCGACTGGTTTAATTATGTTAAAATTTTTTAAAAATATAAACTGTCAAATTGATTCGTATCTATCAGTCAATCTGTTCAATTCGCATTGCGGATTGATTTTCTTTAATCCGTCTAGTTTCAGATGGATGATGGATTGGAGGTTCTAAGGACGCAATTGAACCGCGAACACCCCTAATTACCATTACCACTATTACCTCCACCACTACCCTACCATCACCATGACTACCATCTCTATCTCCATCACCGCCACCACCATCTCACGCTTCCATTCTACCTTTGTTCCCACCACCATCACTAAACCTAAAAAAATCTTTTTCTATTAGAAAATATTTTTCATCTTAAGAAACGGAACATTAATTTTTAATTTTTTTTTTTTTTTACTTCATCTGGTTGAGTTGGAGACTGTTGTACAGTAAAGTTTAAATTGATAAATAAAATGATAAAATTGAAATTTAAATAACTTAAATTATATATAACCCAATACTCAAATTTTCTTCCTGAAGATAGACGGTGTGATATGGTACAATTGGGTGCAGAGAAAATTTAGGATTGCGAAAAACAGACCATGAATTATTAATTTTCTCCTTTAGAAATTATCACAATCATTTTTTATCCAAAACTTTTGTAAGAGGGGCTAATTTGAGCCCACTAAATTATTTAGGCCCAATAGCCCAAGATTAGTGGGCCCGAATTTATCGCAAGTCCAAGAATCGGTGGGCCCAGATTTATCGCCATCAAACGGATTGAATCGCTGTAAGCCTCGAAAGGGTTCGGGTCCACGAACCTAGAGACTTACTCAGGCCCGGAACTCGAAAGGGTATTAGGCAAGCCTAGAGATCCGAGGCACTCGGACTCGAAAGGATTCAGACCCACGAATCTAGAGATCCGAAATACTTGGTTTCGAACGGATTCAGACGCAATCTAGAAGTCGCTCCGTTAATGAGTCCCAGAACACTTGCGGGCTCGGAGCTTTCCGGGATCTACGCACCAGAACCATGGGCGTAATGGAGTTCGAACAAAGGACCCGATCCCGAGGACGGTGAGTGGAGACAAATTCACTCTTCGGTTAAACTAGCCTATACCCACACAATAGAATCAAAATTTCAACAGATCGAAAAAAAAAATTCAACAGATAAAAAAAGTTCAACAGATAGAATAAAAAAATTTCAATAGAGAGAAGAGTAAAATTGGAAACAAAATGTTCTTAAAAAATAACAAAAAGATTTTTCAGCAAACTATTTCACGAAGTGTGGACTTGTCACCAACAAAACATATTCACTGGACCTAATGCCTTAGGCAATTGTTAGTTTGGACTTTTTAACAATTTTCTCTAAATTAAAATTAGTTAATAGGGAATGAAAGATCAAGAAATTATTTGAGAATAATAAACAATTCAAACAATTTCTTAGTTCTCACACCTAAAAATAAAATTAATCTTTACTTGAATGGAGAAATTATTTTGGCCTGGCCCGACAGGCTAGCCTGTGGCCAACCCATACTGTGCACAACGGAAAAAGGGGGCGCAAAACCAAATGATCTGAAAAATTCTTAGTGTTTTTATTTTTTGTGTGGTGTTCTCAATTCTCACCATTTGCTGTGGAGTACTCCATGGTAATGTCTAGTGCTAATTTCTGGAGCCCAACGACAGTGACACGCTTTCCTCAGACCAATTCTTTAGCAGTCTGATGATCCATGGAAGCATAGTCCATGGAGTGTAGGACCTTCCCTTCAAACACCTGAGGACCCTTCCCTGGAGGAAATTCTGGAATGTTTGGAACCCTACTAAATCTTCCCACGCAAAGGATCACAAAATCAACTTCATAAACCTGTTCAAGCTATCATATCACCATGAGAACATGAGATGAAAATACATAAGATTAACATGTCTTTGAAGAAATGAAATTTTGTATATAACTATTAGGTGGCAAATGGGCATATATATATATATATATATACTAGATGTTGTGCAGACCCACATGGGTGTGCTTGAAATTTCCTTATGAGTTGAAATTGACAGTTACGGAAGAATTTGAATTGTGGGTAATTTGGGAATAAAAATTTATGACAAGAAAGTTCAACAACATCTCAGGCTTTTGTATTTTATAATTGAATAGATATATCATTAAGAATTTTTTGTAAAAAACATGTGAAATGCAATATTAATTTTCATCAATACAAAATGTGAAAAATATCACAAAATTATTTCATTATATGTTTTTATTTAACGTGCATTATTTTGTTGTGGTGGTTGGGATTGTAATGCCACCATTAATTACTTCATTTATGAATTTGATTGTTATAGAAATACGTATCTTATCGACATAAAATTTATAACTTGTTATCCTCTTGTCTAACCGGCAAAGACTTGTATTCATAGAAAGGATGATTGATAGTGGTCCTAAAATACCTTTTGTCCTATCTTACCAAAAAAAAAAACCCCTTTCCATTTTGAGAACGCAACCCATTGTTTTGTCACACTCATTTATTTATAACTTTATTTTTACAATGATAGGACATAGATAGAGCCCTTCATTATTATTATCAGTACGATAGGTTGCTCAAGCCCTTTTTCCTTGGCCCTTACTTCGTTCCAAACAATGTACTACTATCAGCCTACTAGGCGATCATCATACAGTTTTATTTTGACCAAAAGTTGTTCAAGAATATAATTCTCATAATTTTACAATTGATATTTCAAATTCAGTTTTCTTACTTTGCAAGTTATTGAGAAAAACTTCATATAGACACTTGCAAATATCTTCAATTTTGAAAAACATATAACCATCCTAGAATATGAAGCAAAGTTAATAATAAGTAACTCCATCACATCCTCCTTAAACTGGTACATTAGATATCATGTAGCTCAGGAGTCCGGATTTAAGGCCAGTTACAAGACTAGTTTCAAATCGTCTCGTGGACCTATTGTTGTTGCTGCCTCTGCCCCAGATACCCGAAATTCTCAAGGAGGAGGTCATAGAGGCCAGAAGAGGAAGCAATATAATGGTGAAAAGGGGAATGTTTCTTATCCATGTGGAATCGAGGAAGTGAAAGCTCTAGTTAAGGAATGGGTGGCTGACGGAGAGCTAAAATTGCCTTATGTTGAAGACATGCCATCAAAAAAGGACCGTGAGAGCCCTGAATTTTGTGTCTACCATCGTACATTGAAACATCCGACAGAGAAGTGTTGGACTCTCAGGAAAATCTTCAGAGATAAAGTCGAGGCAGACGAATTGAGGTTCAAAAAGCGAGGGACTCAAGACATCCGAGAACAACCGTATCCTCAACACCGAGACAAGGGCAAGAATGTTGCTATGATAGCTTATGAAGGCCCGATGATCGAGGCTATCGCCAATCTTGATGACGATGATTGTTATCTGGACGACATCCTCGAGCCAGAGGGTGAGCAAGTTTACTATGGAAGTGCTCTCGATCCAGAGGGCAGAACATTTATGACTCATAGCGAAGATGCCTTTGATCCAGAAGGAGGAGCAGAGTACTACGGAAGAGGAGGACACCATGTTTATGTGGCATCGTATTTTGAAGAGACCGAGGAGATGGTTAACTACGAGCCTCCAAGAGTGGAAAAAGATCCGGATCACTATGCCAAAACCTTGCAAGACTGTGTAAAGTTCAATCAGTTCTTTGACCAGCTTGGACTTTCCAAGGAGGCAAGAACGGAAATCACCAAGTCTATCATTAATATAGCCGAGGCACACCATGAGGAATGCATGTCGACTGAGGGGTCTATCCCGAGGAAGGCAAAAGAGCAATCTAGTGCCATTACTTTCTCCGAAGCTGATCGGAAGTATCATTTTTCTCACAATCGCCCGCTTTATGTGACTGCTTTTATTAACGGGGTTGAGTTCAAAAAGGCCTTTCTAGATAGTGGAGCCTCTATCAACATTATGACTCGCGTTACTCTAGAAAAAGCCGGAATCTCTGAAGAACGCATTGTGAAGCAGCCGATAGTCATCACTGGCTTCGGTGGAGAAAGGAGAGTTACTATCGGATGCGTAACAGTTGATTTAGCCGTTGGAGAGATTCGCTCGGCCACCAAGTTCCATATTATCGATTCTGAGGCAAATTATCACATCATTCTAGGGAGGACCTGGATGCATAGATATGGGGCTGTACCATCAAGTTATCATCAGTGTGTTAAGGCTAAATGGGGAAAGAAGACGGTGACAATTCAAGCTACAAAAAGGCCTTTCGAGGTCCATGAAGCCCATTACTCTGATGCCATCTACTTCACCGAATTGGCTGTCGAAGAAGTTCCCACCACCTCTAAGCCTCGGTTGGAGAGATTCGCTCGGCCACCAAGTTCCATATTATCGATTCTGAGGCAAATTATCACATCATTCTAGGGAGGACCTGGATGCATAGATATGGGGCTGTACCATCAAGTTATCATCAGTGTGTTAAGGCTAAATGGGGAAAGAAGACGGTGACAATTCAGGCTACAGAAAGGCCGTTCGAGATCCATGAAGCTTATTATTCTGATGCCATCTACTTCACAAGACTGGCTGTCGAAGAAGTTCCCCCCACCTCTAAGCCTCGAGGGGTCAAAATTCCTCGTTGGGAGGATATCAAAGATGACAAGGAGCCGATGGCAGAGTCAAGTAAGCGGACAATGTCTAGACCAGAAAGTTTGCCTATTCCTCGGAAGGTGATGAAAGTTCGAGAAGGAGGCAAGATGGTGTACTATTTATGAAGGTGCGGGGAGTCGGTTTCTTCAGTCACCGACTCCGAGTCAAAAGAAGAGCATCCTGACAATGATATAGTAATAAAACCTGAAGTGGCTCCAGAATGCATGCAAGATGGGCCGAAGCCTCAGCCTGAACAACTTATCGAAGTAGACTTGAGTGATGGACAAGATGCACCGAGGCCGGTATTCGTAAGTTCGAGCCTTAGCCCAGAGAAGCGGGAACAGTTGTTAAAGTTGATAAGCCGATACTCAGATGTGTTTGCTTGGTCATATAAGGAAATGCCCGGACTAGATCCTGACCTAGTCTCCCACTATCTTGATGTGTTCCCAAACTCCAAGCCAATTAAGCAAGCTGCTCGAAAATATCATCCAGATCTCGAAGAGAAGATTAAGGAGGAGATTGAAAAACTTCAACAGGCTGGTTTCATCCGGCCAATACAGTACCCCACGTGGTTAGCAAACATCGTGCCAGTAAAGAAGAAGAATGGCCAAATCAGAGTATGTGTAGACTTTCGAGATTTGAACAAATCTTGCCCGAAGGATGAATTCCCTCTTCCTCACATCGACACCCTCGTGGATACTACCTCGGGACACCAGATGTTCTCATTCATGGATGGATTCAGTGGATACAATCAGATTAAGATGGCTGAAGAGGACGCAGAAAAGACTGCTTTTAGAACACCTCTCGGAAACTTCTTCTATACAGTCATGCCTTTCGGACTCAAGAATGCCGGTGCAACTTACCAAAGGGCTATGACTGCAATCTTTCATGACATGATCCATCATGAGGTGGAAGATTATGTTGATGATCTAGTGGTGAAATCCAAGAAAGAAGAAGACCATCTCCGAGACCTTGAGAAGGTATTCAAGAGGTGCCAGAAATTCAAAATGAGGATGAATCCTCTCAAATGTGCTTTCGGGTGGACGGCCGGGAAGTTCCTCGGGTTTCTTGTACATAGGCATGGTATCGAGGCAGATGAAGACAAGGTCAAATCTATCAGAGTAATGCCTTCCTCGTATTCTCAGAAGGAGTTAAAGAAGTTCCTCGGGAAGGTGTCTTATATTCGGAGGTTTATCCCAGCACTTGCAGAGATCTCTGCCCCTTTCGGTTCATTGTTAAAAGGAGATGCCAAGTTCGAGTGGAACCAGGAGCACCAAAAGGCCTTCGAGAGAATCAAGGCGGCCTTGACCTCGCCTCAGACCATGATAGCCCCGCAGTCCGGGGTGCCCCTAATGTTGTACTTAACTTCAACCTCCAAGCCCATAGGGGCATTATTGGTCCAAGATGTAGACGAAGCAGAACGCCCGGTGTATTACATCAGCCAGAAGATTCGAGGAGCAGAAGTTCGATATACTCCGATAGAGAGACATTGCTTAGCTTTGGTATTCATCGCCCAAAAGATCAGACATTACTTCTTAGCACGTCAGATTCAGATTGTTACTAGGAGTGATCCAAACCGATACCTCATCAGCAGGCCTGCTATAACCGGGAAGGTGGCAAGATGGTTGTTAGCACTGGGTGAATTCGAGATCACATGTATAGCCCCGAAGGCGATTAAAAACCAAGCCTTAGCTGACCTCCTTGCTCAAATTCCAAGTGGTGACTATGAACCAGTGAATGAAGAAGTAAGAGGAGAGGTGCATGCAGCTATGGCTTCCGAGGAAAACTTTTGGACATTGACCTTTGACGGAGCAGCAGCCGGAGGTAAAGGAGGAACCGGGATAGTCCTTACAAGAAAAAGTGGGGAAAAGTTATATTTGTCTTATAAACTGGATTTCCATTGTTCGAATAATGAAGCTGAGTATGAGACTCTTATGTTAGGCTTGATAGCAGCTGAGAAGCACAGTATCAAGAAGATTCGGATTCGGGGGGACTCAAAGTCGATAGTGAAGCAAGTTTCAGGACAGTTCGTCTTAAAGGAGCCTGCCTTGGCCACATATCAAACAACAGTCCAAAGGCTTCTTGACAAATTCCAGAAGGTCGAAATAGAGCATGTGCCTCGTTCCGACAACAAGTTTTCAGACGCCCTCGCTATATTAGGGGCAGGAGTTGATACCCCAGAGGAGGAGGCGACAATTATTATCAAGAAGAGAATAGAGCCTTCGATAATACCTGAAGACAAAGGCCTTCCGGAGGACTGGAGAGGAGAAGTCCTCGAACAACTCAAAAGCAAAGTTGGAAAATTGACTATGGCCAAGCTTGCCCAATTCATAATTATTCAAGGTGAACTTTACTTTCGAGGAGGTACCGGATTCCTAGCCCGGTGTGTTGGCCAACAAGAAGCAAGTTTCCGACTACAACAGATTCATGAAAAATCCTGCGGGGATGGGGATATCAGTCTGTACAGAAAGATCCAAAGACATGGCTATGATGGTATATGACGACCATAACCCGAGCAGCTGGTGAAAGCTTTCCAAATGATCTTGCAACTCTAGGGGCAAATGTCATCATTCCATAAAAGAAGTCTACCTATGACATTTACAGTTTGCATTTACTGCATTGTTTAAGAATTTTCTATCTTTCTTTCTTATGTTATGAAGAAATTTATTTCCTCCATATTATGTATCTCCATTAAAAGTTATTTTCTCTACATTGTATATCTTCATTGTGTTATGTTGCTTGAAACAGTTTTCAATTTTTGTTGCCCCTCAAAGAAGAAAAAGGAATGGTAGACTCAGTTACCAACCTGAAGGGAGTTTTCTTGACACAGTAGAAGTATACTTCCACTCGGACCTCCGAAGAGCAGCCATGGCTTCCATCAATGCAAGCTTTGAGGGTCTTTCTTGTTGAAGTAGAGTGTGTGCTCCCACTCGGACTTCCGAAGAATAGCCCTTACTTCCTTCAATGCAAGTTTCGAGGGTCTTTCTTATTGAAGTAGAGTGTGTGTTCCCCATTTCGACTTCCGAAGAATAGCCCTTACTTCTGTCAATTCAAGCTTTAAGGATCTTTCTTGCTGAAGTAGAGTGTGTTCTCCACCTTAGACTTTCGAAGAACAGATCTTGCTTCCATCAGTGCGAGCTTCGATTAGCTGCCGAAGTAGAAGTGCGCATCCACTCGGACTTCCGAGAGACAACCTTGTTTCTGCTCAGACTTCTGAGGGAGAGTCTTCCGAGGGACAACTCTTGCTCTCATTAGTGCGGGTCCGAAGAAGAGCCCTTGATTTCATCAATACGAGCTCCGAGGATCTTTCTTTTCAAAGTAGAGTGAACTCTTACTCGAACTCCTGAGGGATAGCCTTTGCTTCCATTAGCTGCCGAAGTAGAAGTGCGCATCCACTCGGACTTCCGAGGGACAGCCTCGTTTCTGCTCGGACTTCTGGGGGACAACCTTGTTTTCGCTCGAACCTCTGAGAGACAATCTTTACTTCTGTTGGTGCAAGCTTGGTAGACTCGGTTATCTTCCAGAGGAATCTTTCTTGCCAAAGTAGGGTGTGTGCTACCTTCGGACTCCCGAGGGACAGTCTTGCTTCTGTTCAGACTTCCGAGGAACAGCCCTTGCTCTCATTAGTGCGGGTTCCAAGGGCCCCGAGGTCGTGGATTTTAATCAAGAATTCATTTGCCTGAAATAGCAAAGCCAACAAATGAGATAAGCAATATCAATTTCATATCCTGATTCAAGCATTATCAAAATGGGGCAACATCAACAAATAATATCGATCTATTTAAGCTACAACAATTTTACTCCTCCGAACAAGTTCATGAAAATGCAACAATCAAGTTTTTGTCTCTCCAGGCCGGTTCCTCTTAAGCCGACGTAGAGCTACAACGGTCGCACAAAATTTTGGCATCAGCTATGTATTTCCCGAGCATCCACAAGTTAAACAAACAACAATATATCATCTTTATTATTCAACGAAGTATTTCATCATATCAACAAGTCCTACGATGAATTCTACATCAAGAGTTCAAGCATGCTATCTAATATTCTCGAGGTTTATTTTCTCGGGTTTCATCGACAACAACAATAATTATTTTATTCGTCCCATGCAAGTAAAGATAGCAACAACACTCACTTGTAGTCAATGTTCTCTCTCAACATCAATAGCCTAGTGCAAGCATCAAATATTTTGTTTATATCAGATTTATTATCACAAGTTCAAGATCCAATTGGAGGGATTCAAAGAGTATCTCATCTTCTCTAAAAAAAAAAAAATCAAGTGCAAGTGTCCTCAAGACTATAATGTTCAAACAACAACATTCAACATTACAAGATTATCAACTCTGATTTTTACTCTACAAAGCGTGTAAACGACAAGCTCATAGGTTCAAGATTCAACAAGGAGCACTAATTATTTCAAGACAAAAAAATTACAAGATTCAAGATCCAAATCAAATTTCCACACATTCAGAGTTCATCAGAGTATAAGGTTCATCAGATCCAAAAACATAAGAAGAATAAGAAGAGGGTTTTGGCAGAAAACAGTTTGCAGATCCGAATCAGTTTTGAAGAAATAAAAAAAAATGGGCAGAAGCAAGCACTATGGAAGCAAGAAATAAGACCGAACCAAGCACCAAAATGGCCCAAGACAGTCAGAACAGGTCGGTGGCAGCACGTATCGCCAGCACGGACAGTGGACGAGAAAGGGTGCTAGACGGACCAACGACGCGTTGAAAGGGCGACGTGGTCCACGTTGATTAATCACGGCCGAATCCAGTGAGTATGCAAAAATCGAGATTCAAACTCCGAAAAAATAGCGCCGGGCTGTGAGACTAACGAGCTGGATGGTGTTAGGCAAAACCACACATCGCGTTGAGTGGGCGACGTGTGGTTCGCGTTGAACAGACGAAGACGAAGGCAAAGCACTGGGCAACCAAAGGTGAAGGCAAAGTTGTAGCAGAGAGCAGCGTCGGAGAGAACTAAGGCCGAGATCCATAGAGCCAGCGCCAGGGACAGCCAAGACAAGTCGGCAGCAGTGCGTATGGCTTAGACAAGCAGTATGTGAGAAGGGTGCTAGGCGGACCAACACCGCGTTGAGTGGGCGGCGTGGTCGGCGCTGGCCAGGCGCGACTGGAAGTGGTAGCGAGGTTGCAAGTGACAGATGAAAAGCACACAAGCCGCGCGAGGTGGCTGGTCGCGCGCACAGGACAGATCCACATCTGGTTCTCGCGTGGAATGGGTAGATCTGCAGATAATATTTTGGGCGACGGTGTATTGGAAAACACTAGAAAGGTTGGTGTTACGACAAAGCTACGGCAGCAGGCGGTGTGCAAGCGATGGAGTAGCTGGGCAGACCGACGCCGCGTTGAAAGGGCGGGCGCGGTCGGCATTGGCCAGATCACGGCTGAAGACGGTGGTAAAGTTACAGGTGGTCGCCGGCAGAGCAGGACCGGGATCTGGTGTATCCAGAGCACAGAGCCTGCGTCATTGGGCCAAGATGAAACACCGACAACGGCGGTGTCTGAAGCTGCGGCAATGGACACTGTCAAACTAACAAAAAAATTCGTTAGTGTGATAAGGAAGATGAAGCACAGAAAAATAAATAACTAAATAGAGGAGATGTCATAAATGCAAGCAACTGGGGTCGGCCTCTGTTATTGCAGAAACAGAGCTTTTTTGATGATGAAGAAGCTGGGTCTCTCTTTTTAGAGAGAGGAAGTGTGCTGCCGAATAGGTCTTGCCTAAAAGAGAATTAGGGTTTTTGTCCTTATCTCCAAAAAGAAAAAATATATATATAAAAGAAAAGGCAAAGATTTGATTCTGATGATGACCCTCTGCCAAGGCTAAGGCTATATATATATAAAAAAGAGCCTTTCGTTTTTTTTTCCAAATCAAAAATAAAGGTGCATGAGCCTTACCTTTTTATGCTATAAAGTAAAAAGTGGGCTAGCTGTACTCTAAAAGAAAAAGTGTGGCTTATCTTGTCAAGAATACAGAAATTGATTTTTTTTAGTTCTTATTTCTTTGACTTGAAAAGAAAAAAAAAGTTTTACGTTTTCCAATACTTGGAGAAATGAAAATTTAATTATCAATATTTTGAGTTGTAAAAAAAAAAAAGAAAAGAAAAGAAAAAAAAAGAGAAGTTATTTATTTACTTTTTATTAGTTGTCAATTTTATCCGTAATTTACAGTGAGTCCTTAGCTTTATCTTTAGACTCTATCAAGACCAAAATATTTGTGAAGACATAATGTGAAGCATGGTTGACAAGGTAAAATTATGCATGTCCGAGAAAATTACAATTTCTCATACACGCAAGGGGCAAATGTAAGAGGGGCTAATTTGAGCCCACTAAATTATTTAGGCCCAATAGCCCAAGATTAGTGGGCCCGAATTCATCGCAAGTCCAAGATTGGTAGGCTTGGATTTATCGCCGTCAAACGGGCTGAATGGCTCTAAGCCTCGAAAGGGTTCGGATCCACGAATCTAGAGACTTACTCAAGCCCGGACTCGAAAGGGTTCAGATCCACGAACCTAGAGACTTACTCGGGCTCGGACTCGAAAGGGTATTAAGCAAGCCTAGAGATTCGAGGCACTCGGACTCGAGAGGGTTCGGATCCACGAACCTAGAGGCTTACTCAAGCCCGGACTCGAAAGGGTTCAGATCCACGAACCTAGAGACTTACTCGGGCTCGGACTCGAAAGGGTATTAAGCAAGCCTAGAGATCCAAGGCACTCGGACTCGAAAGGGTTCGGATCCACGAACCTAGAGACTTACTCGGGCCCGGACTCGAAAGGGTATTAAGCAAGCCTAGAGATCCGAGGCACTCGGACTCGAAACATATACTTGCTTCAAGAAAACAAAAAACATTAAAATAGCAACAATATACTTATATCGGATTTTACTTCTAAAAGAACTATATGAATTTTAACTCATTCAGTTACAATTACTTGTGAGGCAAGAACTTTATTTAAGTAATCAGCAATTGTAATCCAACAATCATTATTGATTTTTTAATTAAAATATGAGTTAAAATAAT